GTACACAGTAGTTGCTAAGCAAAGATTTGATGAACAAATACATGAAATTAACTGATGCCAGTCAACAAAGGCCTGATGCCCAGGTGGCACCCCAAGAATGAGGTGTGCTTAGAAGGGAAGGTCTTCCCTCATTTCAGGCTCCCATTCAAACCTCCCTGCCTCGGGGAGACCTCCCTTGGGCACCCCAATGACTGCCCCTCTGCCAGGCCTCTTCATTTCCTTCACAGCACTGCACACCCTGAAATCTTTTCATGTGATGGTGGTTCACTTATTTATTTCATTGTTTATTGGCTGTCTCCCCTTCTCTCAGCTGAAACACAGCCTTGGTGAGGCCAGGGGTTCTGTCTTGGTCGCACTGTGTACCCACTGTGTACCCTGTGCAGACGGAGCTGTCTCCTGCAGTGTTTTCCGCCTTTAATTATCCCCAGTAAAAACTGGGACCTTGTGTTATAGTAGGCAGTTAGACCTTAACCAAAGGGGAGGGAGGAGCCAGTCAGCAGCAGACATCTGATTAAGCTTTAGTCACCCGGACCCGCCCCACTAATGGGGGTGGGGGTGAGGGTGGGGGAGGGAGGAGCTGGTGCAGGGGAAGGCCTTTCACTGGGTGCTGGGCAGTAGGAGCCCCATGGTGAGCATAAAGGGCAGAAAATAAACCTGGAAAATCTAGGCGAAGATCAGACCGGATAAGAACGCAAGCCTGGGAGAAGCCGGGAGAGGGATTGGACAGTTGGGAAGAAAGCCTGCTCCCTCTGACGCCCAAGCAAACAGGGAGGCAGAACAAAGGCCCAGTCCCCTTTGGCAGCTGCGCGGAGCAGAGTGCAGCTGGGAGCAGGGCCGGTGCAGGGCTATGGGAGCCTGGGGTGCCAGGGTCATGGCGCCAGGGCTCTGGGCCCGGCCTCCCGGTCCTGGTGGGCGCGGGTGGGGGCCTGCAGCCCCGGAAGGACTTCCCCCCCCAGAGACATAGCTAAACGCCGGGTGGTGGGTGAGGCGCGGGGCGTGGTGTACCAGGGGCAGATCAACAACATCACCGGCTTCCCTTGCTGGACCCACTGGGCAGGCGCCTCTTGGGGTGCGGCAGCCGTTTCAGGGGCATCTGTGCTCTAATAAATCTTGCCACTATCGCTTAAATCTTCCTGCACACGCGCCCCTGAAGTGCCTTTCCTGGGACTCCATGGGAGAGCCTGTTTCCTCTAGAAGCACTTGGAGCAGGAAAGGTGGGAAGACAGATGAGGCAGCCTGGCGTCGGGCAGCAAGCCCGCTCCTTTGCAGCTGGATGCCCGTCCCGCGGGGACCAGGCTGGCAGGGAGCCAGTGCGAGAGGCAATTGGGAAGCTGGGGCAGAGGGAGTGGCCCAGCCTCTGAGCCTGGCACCTGGGCAGGCTTCCTCCCGGGAGAAGCCAGAAAAGCACAGTCCAAGCTCGAAGGGTGATGGGAGGGCCCAAGGGCAATTGTGTCCAGAAAGTGTTTTACATGCGGGGAAGCTTAGCCAGTGCGCCAGGGCCGTGCAGAGCCCCAAACCCAGCTCTCCCCTGGCACCACCTGGGACCACAGAGACATGTCTGGCCTTCAAGCTGATAAAGTCCACTGGGCAGCTACTGTGGGGAATGGGGGGGGGGGGGGGAGAGAGAAAGAGAGAAAGAGAGAGAGAGAGACAAGACTGTGGGAGAGAGAGACCAACAATGGGAAACATAGATCTAGAGACCCAGGCGCAGGGATGGGCATACAGACAGGGACAGACGTAGACAGAGAAAGCACACCACAGGGACTGACAGCCGTCAGATAGCAACAGAGATTCTGAGACAGAGACGTTGAGAGACTGAGTCAGGAAGTCAGAGAGAGCCCTCGCCGGTGCGGCTCAGTGGATAGAGCATCAGCCTGCAGGCTGAGGGGTCCCCGGTTCAATTCTGCTCAAGGGCACGTGCCTCGGTCGCAGGCTCGATGGAAGGCAACCAGTTGATGTGTTATCTCTCTGGCGTCAATGTTTCTTCTCTCTGTGTCTTTCCCTCCTTCCACTCTCTCTAAAATTCAATGGAAAAATAGCCTCCAGTGAGGATTAACAGCAAGAGAGAGAGAGAGAGAGAGAGAGAGAGAGAGAGAGAGAGAGAGAGAGGGAGAAAGGGACAGACAAACAGAAGAGGGGAGACAAAAGAGACACCGGCAGAGAAAGGGAGAGATAGAGAAGGAAGGGGAGACAGGAGCAGGTTGATAAAGAGACAGAAATGGAGACGCTGAGAGAGGAGAGGCGGAGAGAGGGCCGGTCGGCCTGCAGGCGATGATTCACTGGCCCCTTATTACGGACCTGGCAGACCTCCCGTTTCCCCTCCTCGCCCAGCCCCTGGGGCAAGACTGCTCTCCGCCAGCCCAGCCCTGTTGGGTGTGTGTGTCCTGCATACCCGCCCGTGAGCGGGGACGTGTAGCATTCAGTTTAGCAGGGGGTGCACTCAGGGACGAAGGAGATGCGACTGACTTCTGGGGCAAGGAGAGTGCACACAGACACCCCCATCACCCCATCTGGTAGCCAATGGTCGGAGGAGCCAGACGCCTCCGCGACATCCACTCTGGGCATTACTGCAGGAGGTCCCCACCAGGAACACTCGGGCAGAGGGATGGGTGCAGAGCAGAAAGAAAACATCAAACTGATAACGGTGCCAGTGTCTTTCTAGGAGATTCTGGAAGCCCCTGTCCCCCACGAGGTTAGTGGTCTGCGGATAGAAACCCTCTCGTAGGCAGAACAAGGACTATATTGGTTCATCTCACAGGGGTTCAGGTGTTGTGTGGCCTTCGGGCTCAGCGGTGTTTTAAGGACCCGGGTCTCTCTCTTTTTTTCCTGCTTTCCTGTGCATTCTTTTATCCTTAGGCAGCATCTTCATCTGTGTTCCCCGGAATCAGACCCCGAGACAAGGATTGGAATGCAAGTAATTTATTTTGGAAGCGATCTCAGAAAACTCCGGGAGGGGAGTGGGGTAAGGGGGGCAGGAAAAGGAGGGAAAGCAGCAAAGGACGCGTTGTCCTGTGTCAGGGCCTCAGTCTGCTGGGGCCTCTGGGAGAGGGTGAGGGACTTGCACCCCAGACTTAGCTCCTTTGAGGGGCAATAGAGACCAGGTATTTGCCCACTCACTCTGACCAGTCATTGGTTCAGCCCCTCAAACCCTCTCTCCCTATCTCTGTACCTCGCTCACCTCAGGACCTTTCCACATGCCAGCCACACCCGGAATGCCGTTCTCTGTCCCCTTGCACAAGGTCATCCTTACTCACCCCCAGTTTGATCGCGGTAAGACCGTGCCTTTGGCTGCTCGCACCCAGTGCAGCTCCTGGGACAAGGGCTCCAGTGTGTTCATTGCCGACATCTGCCATAACAGAGTCCCACACACTGGGGACTTAAAGCAGCAGGCGTTTATTCCCTCACAGCTCTGGAGGTGGGAAGCCCAAAATCAAGGTGTGGGCAGTGTTGGTCCCTTCCTGGGGGCTCAGGGAGACCCTCTCCTGGTTTCTGGCCGTGGCCACAGCCCTTGGCATCCGTGACTTGCAGAAGCCTCCTTCCCATCTCTGCCTCGGTTGTCACATGGCCTTCTCTGTGTCTCTTCCCCTTCGCCGGCTGAGGGCCGTTGTGAGAGGTATTAGACCAGTGGTTCTCAACCTGTGGGTCGCGACCCCTTCGGGGGTCGAACGACCCTTTCACAGGGGTCGCCTAAGACCATCGGAAAACACATACATAATTACATATTGTTTTTGTGGTTAATCACTATGCTTTAATTATGTTCAATTTGTAACAATGACATTGGGGGTCACCACAACATGAGGAACTGTATTTAAGGGCCACGGCATTAGGAAGGTTGAGAACCACTGTGTTAGACCAACAGAGAAAAAACCTAAGGAATAAGTGGTCAACCTGGCAAAATGCAGCTGAGAGAGAACTCTGTTCCCAGCAGGAGGAGAGGCATTTGCAAAGCTCTAGAGGCCACCCAATCATGATGTAGGTGGAGCCTTGAAAAGCATCTGGTTTTTGAGGTTGGCAGGGGCTCGACTGGGGGGGTGGGGGGCACAGAGAAGAGGGTGGGCTCTATCTGGAGGCGGTGGGGAGCCATGGGAGAATTTAAAGCATGGGAGAGGTGAGAAGACTGGGATTTTAGAAAAATCCCTGACTGCCATGTTGTGATGAACGGGAAGGGCTGCAAACTAGAGGCAGGTCTGTTCTGGGGGGAATGACGACGTCAGAGCCTAGGGTGAGCAGCAGTCTCATGTATTACCTCATTTAATTTTCACACCACCAGTTCTATAAGATCGGTTACTTATCATGATGCCCATTTTACAGAGCCGGAAGCTGAGGCCCAAAGAAGGTAAGTGATTTACCTACATCACACAGTTGAGCCAGGAATCCAGGCTTGAGCAGGCTGCCTAGTTGAGTAGGAGACAGACTCAAGGTGGGATGTTTTGGGGATGAGAAGTGGGGAGGACGTGAGGCTGATGCCCAGAGTTCTGGCTGAGGAATGGGGAACAGAGACTCAGCTGGAGAGAAACCTCTAAAGCGAGAGAATAAAGCGGGTGCAGGAGGCCTACCAGGCAGTGAGGATGTGTGGCCACCCACCCCGGCCAGCCCCACCTTGCCCTTGGCCCTTCTCTCTCCCTTCAGATCAAGTCTAGTCAGACTCTGAGTGCACATGAACTCAGATTCTCCCTGGGTCACGAGAAATAGCCGGCACAGGGAGAAAGGTCACTGTAGACGGAAGAAATAGCCTGTGCCAAGGTCCTGGGGCAGAACCGTGCTCGGCACGTTGGAGGAACAGTAAGGTAACATTGGCACTTTCTTTGTTGGGTCACTGAGAGGCACAGGGAGGTGATGCCTGTGGAGTGTGAGTGTGAGTCCTGGATCTGCCACTCGGGGCCACAGGCTCACATAAGGCCTCACACAGTAGAGGAGCCGGGGGTGCTCCGAGGCTCCCAGAACACTTTCTGAAGACTGCTCCCCCCCCCCCCCCCCATTAGACACCTAGGAATTCTATCTCGACTACAGGCTCAGGCCGCTGGGGGCAGAATGTAAGTGGATGATGTCACAGAGGCTGGGGGCATCTAGAACCCTGAGGGGTCCTGGCCTCGGTGCCGTCTGCCAGCAAGGCCACCTGGCAGGTCAGTTCCTCCTGAGACCAGCCTTCAAAGACACAATGCAAAGGCGCCTGCCACCCGGAGCAGTTCCTGCCTAGGGCCGCCCGGGTCCCAGCCGCTCTGCTTACCTGCCTCTGAGCCTCCCATTTAAGCTACTTCCATTCCAGCCTGGGAGGCCCCGAGATGCCCAAAGGCCTCCCATCTGCCACCCCCAGTGGGACCTAGTTCACTCGGAGCAGGAGGAGGAGGAAGGGCGGGGTGGCCATGGGGCGGCAGCGGCGGGCCCTGGCCCTGAGGGCGGTCAAGGCCTCCCTGGTCCTCTTGGCGCTGCTGGTGCCCTCGCAGGCGGTGGTGCGGGCCGTGCTGGATGGCAACGCGAGCACAGTGGACTTCGCGGACTTGCCGGCCATGTTTGGCGCGCCCCTGGCCCCCGAGGGTGTGCGGGGCTACCTGATGGAGGCCAAGCCGGCTAACGCGTGCCACCCCATCGAGCGCCCGCAGCCGGTGGGCAATGGCTCCCTGGGCGCCATCGTGCTCATTCGGCGCTACGACTGCACATTTGACCTGAAGGTGCTGCACGCCCAGCAGGCCGGCTTCAAGGCCGCCATCGTGCACAACGTCTTCTCGGACGACCTGGTGCGCATGGCCCACGTCTACGAGGACCTGCGGCACCAGATCTCCATCCCCGCGGTGTTCGTGAGCGAGGCCGCCTCGCAGGACTTGCGGGTCATCCTGTGCTGCGACAGGTCCGCCCAGGTCCTCTTGCTGCCCAACTACCCGCCGTGCCCGGACCTGGACTGCCATCCCGTGCTGGCCATCTCCTGGGTCCTGGGCCGCACCCTGGCCCTGCTCATGTCCACCTTCTTCATCCTGCGACACCTGTGGAACTGGCTGTGGTCCAGGTGGGCCTACGGGCCCGCCGTGGTCAAGGAGCCGGCCTGCCGGAGGGCCCAGGTCCGGACCTTCACGCGGCTCAACGACGTGTGCGCCATCTGCCTGGACGAGTACCAGGAGGGCGAGCAGCTCAAGATCCTGCCCTGCTCCCACACCTACCACTGCAAGTGCATCGACCCCTGGTTCTCCCAGGCCGCCCAGCGCTCCTGCCCCGTGTGCAAGCAGTCGGTGGCCAGCACGGAGGACAGCTCCGACTCCACCATCGACAGCTTCTGCGACGAGGAGCCCGCCCTGCTGGGCCACCATGCCCCCATCTGCGCCATCCAGGCCCGGCTGCGCGCCCGGAGGCTGGCGCTGCTGGCCCGAGCCAGCCCACACCACTCCTGCAGCCCCACCTCCGTGGGGGGGGCCGAGGCGGCGGAGCCCTCTGAGCGGCCCCCAGACCCACTCTGAGGACCACAGACCGTGGCCGGCGAGGAGCGGGCTGGGGAGGGTAGCCATAAGTGTTTCTTCTAGTCTGTAGAGAATAAAAATGGGTTTGAAAGCCGTTTGTGCCCTGGCTGCTGTGGGGCCACCCGCCTCTGGCCCCTCATGCCACCCCCGTGATGAAGGCAGGGGAGCCCACGGCCGGCTGCCATTGTCTGTGGTGAGTGAGAAGATGTGGGCCGGCGGGGAGGCGGGAGGTAAGGTCTCTGTGTCCATCCCCAGGGGTGGCCATGCCCAGGCGGGTGCCTCGGTTCCAATCCTGGGCGCACGGCTGCTGATCCTGGATATGTTTATTCATGGTTCACTTAAATGTTTTTTAAAAAAAATAAACTTCTCATTTTGGAATCATTTTAGATTTAAGATAAATAGCTAAGGTTCTAGTGAGTTCTCATGTGCCCTCACCCGGCTTCCCGTGACGTTCACATCGTCCATAGCACAGCGTGTTCTTCATAACCAAGAAGGCAACATGGGTGCCTGTGATGGACGAAACGCCGGCTTTAATTTGAATTTCCCCCATCATTCCAACTTTTGATACTGGAAAATGTCAAACACACCCAAAGGAGAAAGAATAGAATAATGACCCCGCCCCCCTGTACCCATTACTCAGATTCAATAATGATTTCCTGTATTTTCTCCACTTTCACTCACTCCCCGCTCCCTTGCTATTTTGATGCAAATCCCAGATTTTTTTTTCATCTGTAAATATTTCAGTTTGGGTAGAGAAAGCAGCAGTTCTCAGCTGGGCGGGTATTTTCTCCCCAGCGGACACCTGGCAGTGTCTGGGTGGGTTTGGAAGCCATCACGGGGGCCGCGATTAGCCTCTCGTGGGTGGGAGCCAGGGATGCTGCTCAGTGACCAGCCCCAATGTCCACAGTGCTGAGGGGAGAGGCCTTGCTCTTTACGATAACGCCTCTCAAAAAACAACCCCACAAATACCAGTATCATGTTCAAAATAATGATTCCACTGGGGACACCTGGAAGTGTGAGCCGTCCTGGTGTCCCTTTCTTTTGTTTGTCTGAGTCAGGGTGACGGGCTCCTAACTCTCGTCATGGGGAGCTTTCCCCTCCATCTCTCTCTCTCTCTCTCTCTCTCTCTCTCTCTCTCTCTCTCTCTCTCTCTCAATTTTTCCTTGCTCTTTACTTGGTGAAGCAACTGGGTCATTCGCCCTTTGGTGATGTTCTTGGTCGTCTGGGTTTTGCCAATTGGGTGTCCCTGTGGTGTCATTTAACATGTTCCTCAATCCTGTGAATTTCCTGTGAATTTCTACTTGGATTCAGAGACCAACTCACTTGTGGTTTAATTTTATGGTGAACAAACAAGGTGCTGCGTCAGTCCCTAGCACGCCCCCTTTTGTAGAAGACTTGGGCCACTTTAAGGGTTCTTCTGGGATATGAGTGAGGGGCTCTTACTTGGCCATGGGGCAAGCATGATCAGGGAAGTCATGGCTCTGAGGCTGGAATAGTGAGAAGGAGGTGAGGATGCAGGAAGAATGTACCAGGCAGGTGGCACAGCACGTGCAAAGGCCCTGAGGCAAGACTAGGCCTCATGTGTTGGGAGGAACAGTGAGGAGGCCCATGCGACCAGAGCACAGTGAGGGAGCGGGGGAAAGAGAGGTAAGGGCAGGTGTGCAGGGCCTTATAAAGCTTGGTAAGGAATTCAGCTTTTATTCTGAGGAGCTGAGTAAAACCACTGGAGGTTTCAAGTAGCTAAAAAAAAAAAAAAAAAAAAAAATTCCTGTTAGCAATAGTTCCAGGTCTATTTTATAAATGAGGCAACTGAGGCCCAGAGAGGCCAAGTCGCTTGCTTGGGGTCACACAGTGTGTGGCGGTGATGGGATTTGGAGCCTGTAGTCTGGTCTTGGTGGATTCACAAGTGAGTGCTGGCATGTACTCAGAGGTTTTCCTTTTTACACACATAAGTGTTTTCCACCCGTGCTTTGCTGGAGCTGAGAACCCCTGAGGTGGTTTAGGGGAAGCTTTTCCCTTCTCTGATGGACGAAGGCAACGACGGGCCCTCAGCCGAGGCTTGTGTGTGTGCTGGGGGCTGGCCAACCAGAGCAGCTTCAGCACCTGGGGCTTGTTTGCTCATGAGCGTGAATAGTCAGTTCCGGGAAGGCGTGGAGGCCCCAGGTGTCCAGAGCCCAGGCTCCTGCCACCTCATTGCTCCGCATCCTCAGCAGGTGGGACAATACTATTTATTGGAGGCGGTGAGAACGGCACCAGGTGTCAGACCGGTGGCCTCAGACTGGACCTGGGTTCAGCAACCGTGGTACTTGAGTCCTGGCTAGGAAAGCAGTCAGAGCCAAGCCTCGAACTACGAGAGACCATCTATTTAGAAGATCACAGAGGTGGAAGAAACGGGCTCAGGAAACAAGTCACAGAGGCAAAAGAAGGTATTGGTAAGGAGCATGGGGGGAGGGAAGGGGGGAGGGGACGGGGGAGGGGGAAGGCACGGGGTGCTCCTGGGAGGGAGAGCGCACTGGTCCCCATCCTAAGGGTTTTGAGGGTGGAGAGTTTAGGGGAGGTCTCGGGGGAAGATCTCAATAGAATATTCAGCCACTTTCACACGTGTCCTTTCAGGGTCTAGGTCTCCACTGATTGGTCGGTGCTGGTGCTGGGACAGGGCGACATTATTCAATGCAGCTGGTCCTGAGGGCAGGGCTGGCATCCTTGACTGATTTTTCTGCTTTTCTGGGCCTGGAGCTGAAATACAACCGAAGCCTAGATGTTATCTCTAGGGAGGAAAGGTCAGGGGCCTAAACAATGACTAGTGAGATGCTAGGAGAGGAAGGCCCCCCTGGGAGCGAGGTCCCACCCTACAGTTGTCCCTTGCTAGACCCCTGGGGCTTTCCACCCTGGTGACCTGCTGTACCTGGCCCATCACGCTCGCTCTGCGCTTGTCTGTCTAACTGCCTAACACAGTACAGCTGCTTGAACTCCAGCCCTCACATCCGCATTCCCGTCAGGAAGAGGGGTGAGGAAGGGCTCCCCTCTCTAAAGACATTTCACAGAAATTCCACACATCACTTCTGCTCATAACCCATCGGCCAGAACGTAGTCACGTGGCTATACTTCCTGAAAGGAAGCTGGGAAATGGAGTTTTTATCCCGAGTGGCCAGCAGTGCAGCTGAAAACCATGGGCTCTGTTATGGAAAAGGAGAGGACAGGTGTTAGGAGTGGCCAGCGTTGCCTGCCTTTTAGATTCCTTGACGGTCACAGGCACCACAGGGGAGCAGGTACATCCCAGGCACCTGACTTCTTCCCACTATTAAATCTTTCTGAGCCTCAGTTTCCATCTGTAAACAGAGGGCAGTAGCAGCACCTGCCCTGCAGGGTTCCTTAAGCATGGCTGGTTGTACATAGTGCCTGACACCTACTAAGTCAGTGGTTCTCAACCTGTGGGTCACGAACAATGAAAATACATCCTGCACATCAGATATTTACATTATGATTCATAACAGCAGCAAAATTACAGTTGTGAAGTAGCAACAAAAATAATTGTATGGTTGGGGGTCACCACAACATGAAGAACTGTATTAAAGGGTCGCGGCATTAGGAAGGTTGAGAACCACTGTACTAAGTGATCTGTCAGTATCAATCAACTAAGGGACATGCCCACAGCCCGGCTATAAAAGTGGGTGATCAGCTCTGTGATGGGAGGAACTCAGGCGCTGTGTTAACTCAAATGGAGGTGCCTAACCCAACCCAGAGAATCTGGAAGGCTTCTTGGAGGTGGACTCTTCTGAGCAGAAGGAGCAGGGGTCCGTACTGCAAAAAGGAAAGTGATTCTGGCGGCTGGAACAGCATGAGCAAAGGCCCCAAGCAGCCTGGACTGGCATCTGGTGGGTGCCTAGATGCACACAGAGCCCTTGCCCCCAAATCAGGAATTGCCCCCTCGGAGAAGGGGCCTTAGCTTTATCACAGCCTCCTCAGTCCCCCAACAGCGAGGCTTGGGCCCTCCTCCAGCCGCCTCCAGGGAAGCTGGACGCTGCCAAGGACCGTCAGCCCATGCCAGCCCCTGGTCCTTCCTGGTGGCTGCTCTAGGTAAACACCAGTGGAGCCTCCTCATGCCCATCCAGGCAGCGGCCCATCTGTGTGGTCTAAGGGGCCGTGTGGCCAAATGGAGGGAGCTGAGACTCAGAGGAGGGGTGACCAGCCTTGGTGCAGGGATACTAGAAGCAGCCAGCATGACTACTGAGCACACACGGGCGGCCAGGTGCCTGCACGGACTCCTTGCGCCCTGAGCCAGGTTCCTGCGCATACCCCCATTTTCCAGAGGAAGAAACTGAGTCCGTGAAAGAGGATGTGTCTTGCCCAGGGCCACACACCTGGACGCTGACCGAGCCTGGTGCAATGGGGAGCTCGCTGCTGCAGCTGAGACAGCTTTTCCATTTTTAAATGGCTCCGCCTTCCAGTTCTGCAGCCTGCTGGCCTCCACTTCCCCAAGTGCGGTCGTGATGCCTCCTGTTTGTCTGATGACCACATGTGCTGACCACCTCCTCGTCCAAGCCTCTGCCGGGCACCTTAGACATAGCAGAGGCCAAGACAGACCCAGTCCCTGCCCAGGTGGGCACCCAGCCTAGTGGAGGGAAGGGACCGTGGCAAGGCAGTGTCGGGGTGAGTAGGCTGTGATAGGGCGCACAGGCGAGGGCTCAGAGGGGCACCTGCCCCAGCCTGGAGGGTCAGGGTAGGTTTCTCAGGTAGGGCATCCACCTCAAGACCCAAAGGATAGCCCTGACCGGTTTGGCTCAGTGGATAGAGTGTCGGCCTGCGGGCTGAAAGGTCACAGGTTTGATTCCAGTCACGGGCATGTACCTTGGTTGCGGGCACATCCCCAGTGGCGGGTGTGCAGGAGGCAGCTGATCCATGTTTCTCTCTCATGGATGTTTCTAACTCTCCATCCCTTTCCCTTCCTCTCTGTAAAAAAATCAATAAAATACTTTTTTTTAAAAAGACCCAAAGGATAGAACAGAAGCAGCTGGGCAGGGGTGGGAAGGGTGTTCCAGGGGGGAAGGAACAGCATTGCAAGGACTCAGAGTCTTAAAGGCACAAGGGCTCTTAAACGTTTGGACGTCTCCCCAGCTCCAGGCACACACCCACTTGTAGTTATAACAAATAATGTCACTTCAAGTTCCTAA